CAGGATGCGCCATTTGAATGTGTTAGCCACGTTGATAAGTTGGAAGCAGGCGTTTTTCTTGGTGCGATGGGTGGTATAGCGTGGCACAAGGCGGTTGATGCACCTTCCGGCAGGTGCGCCGGTAGGCGGGGACGCAGAGGAAGGCGCATCGCACAATGAGGTGGCAGCGATGTCAATCACTGTAGTGGACGCATTAGTGCGAGGTTGCCGGTTGGCGAAGACTCGTCATTCCAGCGAGTCAAGCCTTGACCAGAAGGTAGTGGAGGGACAGAAGGAGAATAAATCTAGTTGTGAACCAGATGACAAAGAAGCCAGCAAGGAATCGTTCTTCTTCAAAACTACGTCTCACTTGTTGTCTTCCTTATCGCTTTGCTCGTCGTTTTCCGAACAAGCGGATGGCCACCTGGTTCAAAAGTTAACGAAGCGTGATGGGCGCGCTTGGAGTCTGAAGAAATGACAGTGACGACACCCACGCCGTTTTCTGATCAGAGTACTAGTCGGAAAAGCGTACATCGGGGTTTTCCGGGTTTTGGTAGTAAGATTTGGTCCACATGGGGATCGCCCGCCATGGTCGGGGCGGCATCAGCTAAAGACGACCCCTCATTTTTGTTCAGCTTGAAGGAGATGAAAGAAGATAAACTAGTGCCTTCTGTGATGTATAGGAAGTAAGCCAGGAAGGCCGTTTGCGCGATGCCCGCAAATTGTGTTTTATTGAGCTATGGCTTGCGACTTGTCGCTTGACAGGTCTTGGGTGTGGTGTAGAGTCGTAGATACCATGAGCGCCAAGGCTTGGGCTGACGAGTGGGAATTCCTTTGGCGGGAGTGTGCAGGGGCTTTTGCCCAGCTTTGATGTGTACAATGCGACGTGGAGAACGCCTATATGAACCGAACTTGATGGGTTGGAAATGTGATTCCAATGCATCTGATCTTTCTCAGCTGATCACGCAAGAACCTCAAATATCACCTGGCTGGTCCTTTAGTGCGGACTTGCCGTTATCATGTATCAAATTTCAACGTGTGTCCATATAAATATTCCTTGGATTGACGCCGAGGTCACTCTGACATAGTGTTAAATACATCTGCCAGCGTTCAACGCAGTTTCCGCTTCGGCAGGCATATCAGTGTTACACTTTGGTCTGATGGCAAAACAAAGAATTAGACGTGTGTCACCCAGATGTTTAGGTTGTAGCTGCGAATCAGCGAGGAGTGTGTGAACATTGATTCCACTTTGCGAAGTTCGACCAAGTACGTGGATGATCACAATATGAGGCAGGTGACTTGCTGATACTGGTGGAGTCGGGGCGCAGCAGATATGCTTGCATCATCCTGGGCTTACCTGGCTCGGGTGCAATGCGACAACTCTCAGCAGTCGGGACAACATTTGCTCGACTGTGGGGCGCAAGTGAATTTGCCACCTCCTCATGTCGTTAGACAGGCCGCCGTATGTTCAGGTTCCAGACGCGGTATGGATTTGCATGCAGGCCCCAAAGCTCCTTGTTATCAAGATTTTGCGATGGCTGACAAGATCAATTTATCGCAATAGCAGAACTGTAGAACCAGTTGGATTGATTGGAGCAACATCGCGCTCTCCTTGTGGGAAATCAGAACGGCTGGTTGGGAAAACTGAAGGCCCGGGTTCAAATTCTCCAATCTCACCCACGAGAACCATCAGGATTTCGATGCCATATCTTCATTGCGGAGATGCTGGAACCACGAACGCCCTGACGATGACGGACGCTGCGACTCTCGGACATTTCTCAGCGATCGTGCGGGTGCCGGGGGAAGGTGCTTAGCGCACAGATACTGGACGGATACATGGTGCAACGGGGCCGATCATGAACGGCGTCGAGCCGATGCGAAAGTGGGGCGTTTGACCGGTGCCGGAGGTCGGGACGCGGGACCGGCATATACCAGGTCCATGCGGGACATTTTCGAAGGGACTCTGCGTTGATTGTTGGAGACAGGTGCATTGGGTATCTAGTAGACCAGGCAGAATTGTAACGACCTTTGCTGAGTTCACCGATAGCCTGAGGAAGAAATGCAAGTTGCCCCATTAGCTTACGTGACGTCCTCCACGTGCTCCAATAACAACATTGGCAATTTTAGCTTCATCACAGTAATGCACCACAGGAGCTACTTCACTATGGTTGCTTTTTGGGATCCTCCCAATTCAGTTTAACGCTGATAGTGGCATGGCGAAACGTATTTCTCCAGGTCCCACTTGCACACTTCTTTCCCTGGTCCGGCCATACTTTGCTGGGCACACCAGCGATGACACGAGCACGATCAGGGTGGACGCGAATAGCTTTCATGCACTGCCTAGGCATATACCCGGGTCTTGGGGATTCGGTGACGGCAGCACTGATGATCTTGCAGCCAGTGTCCCACAATAGAAGGTTTTGGCAAACTCCTATATTGCCTCTCCTCACTCCGTCCGCCTCTTCCACTCGAGTTGGAGCCTAGCCTGAGCCCGAGCCAGAGGGTGTTGAGCTTGCAATCTTGGGAGGCTGCCTGTGTTGCGGTTTTGCACAATTCCATAGGCGAGAGAACGGAAGGGCAAAGGCGTACTCACCATCTTAGAAGAAGAAAGTCGCGGGTGTGTCGCCTGAATAGCAAGGGTTTGGACACTTAGGGCCACACTTTGCTGTTGATTGTCATGATAATCCCATTGCTGATTCAAAACAGAAGATCACAACTCCAGAGGTTCTCCTACTGTCAATTCCGTCAGCACTTAGCTGCCAGATTTTACCTTGTTCATCTGGAAAATAGGCCGTCGTAACATCAGCCTCAAATAAAGGATTGGAAAAGCTGGAGAGAAGGACCGAATAAGTCACCGAGGATAAAGACGCAAAGAATTAATATCGAGTCAAATAAAAACAAGTGACGACGACCGGCCACCTTCAAAAAACAGGATAAGGCAGAGTTTCAGTAGGAAATCTATAAGAAAGCTGATTTTACTAAATACTTTACGAGGTGCAGTATGCCTGACCAACTCAGATGATACCTTAGCTGTACGATAAACGTTTAGGCACCCTAGCTGTGGATCAGATATACTTGGGTTCTATATAATTCATCCTCTGAAAGTTTGTCACCTTCTACGCCAGCCTAAAAAGCAGAGAAACCATGAATGTACCAGAACAGGAAATTCAATCCATATAAACCCCAGTCTCTTGTATACACTCACAGGGCTGACGTACCACGCTTATAAATATTGTACACTTGTCACTGGAAACCACCAGACTGATGACGTCTGATGCAATATTGAAGCATGAATGCGGCGACCTAAACACAGACTTTCTCATTCCACCTCCCTACACTCTGCAAGCCAACAGACATAGACGAAGTACGTTCCCTAAGCTCAAAAAATCAATAAACTACGCCAGGAATAGACTAAAAAATGCCAGATAAGATACCACAATGATGAATTCAGTCACTCGTTTGATATCAGACGTAAGGCTGCGGTTCCCACCTTTGCGGAACGCACGGCAACTTACGCCCGTCGAAGAAGACAATCATCTTTGCAACCACTTTCTGGGTGGATATCGAGCAGGTTGTAAAGTCACACAGTGCCGCTCTCGCGGGGTGAAGCTTGTGTTCGCGCGGCAACGCCCAGTCGGCAACATTTCCGCCACTCCTTCGCCTTCAGGAACGGCTCCGTCCACCGACATCCATTGCTTTTGTCGATCCTGGAATGGCAATCAAGCAACGCTCTCATGTGACTTTGACCGAAGACTCAGCTCGTTTACTTACTGACTTAACGCTTTGAGGGCCAGACAGCCCTGGCGGCTCGGCGGTGATCTACTTTCTTTCGGTGACTTTGTCAGCATTCTGGGCGATTTATTTCACGTCCCCGGTATCTCGAGTGGTAGGATGACCAGCCTGTAGATAGCCATGAAAATGCAACGTGAAAGATTTGGCTTTTCAGAGGTATGAAGTGAGCTGGGGCGCGTTGGTGGGAGGGCACGACCTATTCATGGAGATCCTATGCAAGATATTGGGTGAGCCACTGGAGGTGCATCCCAAGTAAATTACCCTTAACCTCTCTGCCTATCGGGCTGACTTGTGGCGAAGTGCAACCCTGAAAGTGAATGGAATACTTCGTGTGGATAAAAGACTTTTGGAAGGCCCCATAATGTCAAGGCATTGGCACTATAACAATAGTGTAAATGGCATGTCTACTGATGATTAAGCAGCTCCCCCATGGGTTGGCACGCCATTGGTGACTTCATGAATTATCTCATCGATCCTGGCTATGGTTCTAACAAACTCGAGCGCACATCTTCCGCACAATTTCATCTCCTATGTCTCGTTGGGAATGATGACTTCGTGTCCTCCAGGTCTCTCGAGGCATCACGCAGGATGGGCAAGACGATTTTATGCGACCAGTCAACGGGCCTATTGCATCTGCATTCTGTCACCTTCGTCAACAGCATGAATGATAACAGAATCAGAAAACGGACAGCATCTCCCTGTAGCTGCGTCGAAATGTCATGATGCTTACAACTACGCGCCTTTTCGCGGAACACTGGCCTACTGTCATTCACGGCCAAGCGAAGCAAGCTTATCTCTATCTCCGCCGCCTTTTCGTAACTTTCCTTGAATCACGAGCTCTTGGCGGAAGGTGCCGGTTGTCTGAGCAGCTCGGGTCAGCTTTCTCTGCTTCTTTCACGCGCATGCCTTGTGTTGGGAAATCGCCCATGGTTATGGACTGAGAGGCCTTCTGAGTCATGCAGCTAGAAGCGAAAGATGCGAGGTCCTGCGATAGAGATGATAATCGGATAGGAATTCGCGATATATATGCAAACATTAGAATCACCTCACGGATCGGGATGTCAGGTTGCAACTAAGAAATTGCAGCGCCCCTAAGGAGCTAGGTTTAGAAGAGACAGTAGTCGATCCAATAAAAATTGCACCTCGAAAGGTCGGCTCCGGAGGGCGTGTCCTTCAATAGTGAAGTATCTAATAAGCAGAATAAAAATGGTTCATCGTTACCAGGCTCATCAGCTTGTCAACGCCTTGAAGGCTTGGCTGACAATGCCGGCAATATTAATAACAGCATGGTTTCGAGGCCTTTCACTGCGAAGGTCAAACCATTTAGTTGCGTTCACCTCAATGAACTCTGCAGCTGCTCTCTGGTGATCCTCGCTTACTTCAAGCTGGTCAACGTAGTCTTCGGTGATATGCACCTCCAAGAACCGCATGTAATACCGTGCGGCGGTAATGATGAAGATGCTAGATAAGAGTCAGTAACTTGAATACTTGAATTTGTCCCCGGGCATCGAGCTAGGTAGGATGAGAATCTAGGAGCTTGGTCAGTCTACTCACGTATCTCGTGGCCCTACCCACGCCCCTTGCACCAGCCGCATCGATACCGCTTGTCCTATCATCTGGGCGAACCGTTCATCTGATAGTTTCGGCTCGCCATTCGATATCTCACCAAGGTGTCGCTTCGTCTCGATTATTGCGACACGACCCAAGCGTCCGGAAAAGTCCTGGACAAGGGATAATCCTCCATCATCAATAGACCTGTAGGCGTTTTGCTGAATGCGACAGTCCAATTGAAGCTTATGGTCATCGAAGTCGACAGCAAAGTCATCCAAATCGGACCACTGGTGCTGTGGGAGATGTTGAAGGACATGCCGGATGAACTCGCTTGCAAACCGATGAGTCAGTTCTTCAGGTCTTAGTTGCGACCTGACGGCTTCTTCCTGGGGGACGTATGATTGCGAAGATGGAAATTTCCCGGACGGCGAGGTTGGTATCCCAATAGCCTCAGTCAACTCTTCTCGATTGTACATGGGTGCCAACGGTGCTTGAGTTGCTTGCCGTTTCGGACGTTCTTCTGGTAATGGCGGAAGTGAAGGTTCACGTTTTAGACCTGTGATGCCGACAGGTGGAGAACTGCTCATTACTGAGGCCTCGTCGGCTTCCTGCACGTCGCCCTCATCGTCTCGTGTATTGATGTAATCATCAGTCTGGCCAGACACGCAAAGACGGTTCAACGCAGCCCATACACTGCCGAGGGGGTCGCGGCGGAGGGCATACTCTGTCCGCACACTGCGAGTGACATGGTCATCGGATGATGGGCCTTTGACCAACTTAAATAGCGCATGGATTGATTCTCTACTGTCTGCATCCTCTTGTTGGAATTCAGACTCCGAAGCTCCGTCGAACCGTAGGATCGATGAAGCCTGAAGAAAGTCATTATCCTTGTTAAGGGATGGAAGAAGGCTCGCATCCTTTTCAACGACGAGCACCCGCAAGGCTGCCAGCTGCGGACGGCCCCATTTGCTGGCGCCAAGCTTGTTGAGGCTTTCGAGCCAATCACCTTCAGGTTTGGCCTCGCGGTTATACGCATCGCGTGTTGATACATGGTGGAAGTACTTCTCCGAGGCCATGCTGCAGACATCCGGCAGGCTGCGGCAGACCCGTCATCTGGCTGGCGGCTCGGAAAGAATTTGAAGATGTGAAATGCTCAGCGCATTTTCCAGATCGGGGCAGAGCGGAGTGGAGACCGCAGCAGGTCCACTAATGCCGATGCAGTGGTGATGATTGGTCAGCCTAAGGATACCGTCGTTGGCAGAAGGGCAGGCCAAACAGGCAGACGGTACACCATTACGAGCGAGCAATGCCGCGCACTTCGCCCGCGTAAATGATGACGTCGCGCGAAACTGACTGTGCTAGACAAAGCTGCGCGGGCAAATACTGCGAATTTGTCGCAAATTTATTACTGCCACCCGCATGACGAGATTGGCCAGCCTTAGGATACCGACCCAGCCATTGACGGGTGCGGACCTCATGGAGCACGTGACCAACTTAGGTGCCTCATCCGTTACGTCAGATTTTCCCCAGAAAACCATTGTTATGTAATCAGCAAGGTTTCGGACGCATCCAAAATCGCCGCGTCTGAACCCCACCGAGCGTCCTTAGGTAAGCTGATTCCTGATACCACACGTGTTTTGGCGTGAAGTACGCAAACCCACGCGCGACGCTCATTTGAGCTACATCAACGTCCAACCCACATCATCACCAGCACGACGCGGCTGACAATTCGCACAATGCCCAGACACTGCACATAGCGATGGCAGCGCAGTCTTCCGAATCTCTCTCGTTGCGCCAGCTTCAGCGACTACACCCGCGCGAGAGACTTCTGGTGCACCCGCTGCTATGGACTTCGCGCCATCTCGACCTCCTCGGATGTCCCTTCGTTGACGCACCGCCTCTACCCGCCTCTCTCCACCCGTCGCCCCAAGACACATGCCGAGATGAAACTCGCATAGTCGCCAGCCCAAAGCCGTCGCTTCACGAGACGGGCGACCCTGCAGGACGAGACAATGCATATGGCCGCGGTCGACGGCCTCTGTCCAACCTGGACTCCAACGTCAGTACCAACCAACCCAATACCAAGCAATACTCTGCCTCAACCTTGCCTCCGCGATCGTCGCTTCCAGAGCATGCGCGATGGGCCAAGGTCCTGGCCGGAAGCTCCATGCTAAGCGTGAAGGAGGCTATGGTCCGCGCCCTATTGCTCAAGAGGGCGGTACTCGCCACGCCGACCAGGTAACGTCCCCCCGTGCTTGAGCCAGAGGATGATTGCGAGCACAAGGCTAACGTGGCATCAACTTACCAGCACACCTTGCGTCCTCCGCTTCGAGAAGAACCGAATACGCCTCCGTGGCCTACTCTTAAGCGCAAACCCCACCTCTGTTTCGTCCCAAAAGCCGACCGAATCCTCTATATCCTATCTGGATGCCTCGAGTATCCGCGACGCGCGCAGCCGATATCTGAAGGAATCGTGCCAAGCATGGAATAGCATAACACGGTCCCTCTACAATACCCGGCTGTCGGTTCTGCAGCGTGGCCAAAGGGTCCACGACTCCTACGTCACTGCCATTCTCATTGCCATGGCACAGCATCAGTGTCGCTGGGCTCCGCGCAAGTCGATTCACCGGGTAAGTGCTGGCAGCAGCGTGTACCGCTTTGCTTGGTATCTGAGTTTAATGAATATCACAGGTTCACGTGCTGCTTAGCGATGTCGACAACAAGTCTCGAATAACCATCTACACGGCCGAAATCCCGAACTCCTTCCTCGACAAGCTCGCACATCCTCGCCGTCGTCCAGCGCCCTCTGCTGCATTCCAGGTCCAAGCCAGGACAGTCGAATACGAACCATACGCAACATTCCAGCAGCGTATTTCCCAAGCTATGATGCCTTGCGGTACAAAACGAGCGCGCGACCCGAACTCCGACGATGACGATGACGATCACCATGCTCAGAAGCGACGACGCCCCGATGATGGACGAATGGAATGGCAAAAGGAGTCCTGAAATGCGCTGGAACGACCTGTCATTAGATCCATCACGAAAACCGAATTCTGATTTCCCCGGCAATTCGGCGCCCAAGGCATTGAACTCTTGCGAGAGGCTCGAGTTGTTGACGTTGCGGAGCTCCTCAAGGCGGGCAAAGCGGTCAAGGGAGATGAACTGCGGATTGGTTGTTGACGGGACCATAGTACGGATGTTCTTATAGGTGGGCCGATTGCAGGTACCGAGAGCGCCGGCGACGTTCTCGCGTATGCGGATGATGGCCTGGCCGCGAGGGACATTTCCGTCAACTTCCTCCTTGGAAAGTCCGTGAAGGGTGCGCAGGCACGCGATGAGCAGGCTGCAGACGCCAGCAGCGATGGCGGTGGCAACGGAGCTGCCACTGATGCGCTCAGTGGACGCGGCAAGGAAGGGGATGGCGCCGACGGCGATGTCCTGGCTGTTAATGCAGAAGCCGTGCTGATGGTTCTTCTTGCTGGCGTTGTCGGTGGTGTTATCGTCCCAGTCATGCTGCAACTTGCCGTACATGTTGCAGCTGGCCATGCGCAGCATCGTGTTGCTGCTGTCGTTGCTGTTAAAGCAGGCGGGGAAGACCTGCGTGCCGATACGGGCGCCGTTGTCGTGATGGCTGCAGACTATGAGGATACCGGCATTCATGGTCTTCTGCACGGCTTCCTTGAACGGCTTGTAGTCCTCGGTCGTTGTGAAGCTCATCGAGATAATGTCCACACCCCTATCCACGGCCCAGTTCACCGCTTCCGCCGCGCGTGCCGCCGAGTAGCCGTAGTGGCTATCGGCGATCTTGGCTACAAACAGCTGGCACAGCGGGTCAATGGCGCACACCAGGTTCGCCATTTGCGTGCCAATCGGGTTCGACGCCAGGTACCATGGGCTCACGCGGTCCTGTTCGTGCACAAAGGACTTGCCGTCGCAGATGCGCGCCCACAGATTATCGGCCGTCCAGAATTCCTAGCTGTGCAGATGCCTCTGGCTGCTGTTATCCTTCTCACTGCTACTGCCCTGAACGTCCGGCGCGTCCTCAGGGTGGGCTGTGCCGACCACCTGAGGCGCGCTCGGCGGGTCCATGTTGAGGATGCTGCTGTTAATGATAGCTACTTTCGTCAGCTAGAAGAAGCCCTTAGTGTGATTCCCTGCGTAATATTAAGAGGCTTTATCATAATAGCAGTTAATAAATAGGGCGAGTCGCAGGGATAGATAGTAGATACTAGTGAGGTCAGTAGGGTAAGATATAAGAGGAATAATAAGAATAATAAGAATGCATATCTCTTATAAGCGTAGAGTCTCAGCTAGGGCTGTTTAAAATTATAACTATATATTAATTTCTATTAGCTTCTGTTTCTATAAACCTATATCTTTTATATTTATATACTAAAGGGTTATATTACTTTGTTTTTTAGTTATAAGTTCTTAATATATTAGTAATAATAAATACTTACTAAGTAATAGTTAAAATCCCTACTAAATAGAAATATAAAAAATAATATATATAAGGTAAGTATTAGTTAAAAAGTGTAAGGGTCTAGCTATTTAGACTAGAAGGGCTTAAGGATAGTTTAGCTAGATATTATAACCTATAAGTAAGGATAATAGTTAGCTAACCTACTTTAGGCGTTAAGTAGCTAAGATAGGATATTTATATTATAGGATTATAGGAATAGTAAGAACTCACTTAGAAATAGAAGAACTATAGTATAAGTTATATAATAATAAGATAAGACTAAGTAAATAGTATAGATTACTAAGTATTTAGTAAGGACTACTAAGTACTTACTAGTAATTACTAAATGTTTATTAATACTTAGTTAGGAATTAGTAGCTAGATAAAGGAACTATTTAATACTTATATATAGTATAACCTTAAACCTAACTTATAATTAAACTTCTATAGCTTTTTAATAATTAACTTAATAATTATCCTTATAGATACTTTTAGTTTACTTTTACTATAAATCACTTATTAAGTTTAAAACTAATTACTTTAACTTCTAAAAACTTAATTTATTATAGCTTATAACTTATAACTTAAACTATAACTTAGTATATTATTATAATATATTAATCTTTAGCTTTTATTAATAGACCTTATTATTAGATAACTAACTATAATGTTTTAATTACTCTTATTTAGTAAGTTAACTATTAATACCTATTAATAGTAAAATAGTAAGTATATCTTTATATATCTCTACTAAGTTACTTACTTTAAAAACCTCCTCCTCTTTATAATAACTAGTCTAAAACCTAGTTAAAAAACTTAAAAAAGCTTTTATAGTAGTAGACTTTAATAATAAAGTAACTTTAAAGAAAGATACTTATAAACACTTTTAAGTTAAAATTAAAAAAGGAGATAATAATATTACTAAAGTTTAAACTATATATAATAAAACTACTATAAAACTTTAAAACTTTAAAGAAATAATATAATAACTAAAGAATAGCCCTTAATATATTATAAACCTAAAAAATAAAGTTATCTAACTTAGAGGATAAAATAGTAATATTAATATTAAAGAACTTTAAAAAGAAATCTATACTTTATATATAGTTATTAATATTATTATAACCTCTACTAGAGGATAATAGAAGCTTAAGTTTAATACCTTAATTACTTATAATAATACCTCTAAATAACTTAAGTTATTCTTAATTTAAATTAAAAACTACTAAAACTTCTATTATAGAGACTTTACTAACTAGACTAAAAAAGTTATTTATATTACTACTTACCTATAAAAATAAGCTGTTAAGTAGTTTAAACTTATTTAAGAAGAGTTCCTTAAGTATAAAACCCTAATATTATATCTATAATAGCTAACGTTAGAAGCTATTAAAAGCTTTATTATAGAATTAAGTAGGTTTTTTAAGATAAAAGTAGAAACTATTATTTATAGTAGGGTAGAAGCTATTAAGATTTTCTATCACTTAAGGTTATAAAGGTTAGGTTTTAAGGAAAATTCTAAAATATTAAATACTTAAAACTTAGTATTTATATAAAATACTTATCTCTTATTAATATTAATAATTAAATATTTTTTTAATAAAAATATAATAGAGTATATTAATAAATTAATATTATTTCTCTATTTAAATAAGGTATAATATATCTAATTATAAGATATCTTAAGATTTATAAAAGTTTACTTATTCTTTAATTATTAAAAGTAATTAAAATAGTATACTCTATACTTAAGTCTTATCTTTTAATCACTAAAAGCGACCTAAATATTACACTCCATACCCAAGTCCCATCTTTTAATCACTAAAAGTAACCTAAATATTACACTCTATACCTAAGTCCTATCTTTTAATCACTAAAAGCAACCTAAACATTACACTCTATACCTAAGACCTATCTTTTAATCACTAAAAGCGACCTAAACATTACACTCTATACCTAAGACCTATCTTTTAATCACTAAAAGCAACCTAAACATTACACTCTATACCTAAGTCCTATCTTTTAATCACTAAAAGC